TAATAGTGCATAATATACTATTATAAAACATAATGTTATTACTTTTTAAGAGTTATTTAAACAAATTTAGATTTTAAAACATTGTATTTTGCAAATTTTCAATCCTTGTTAAAACATGGTCGAGGGATAAACCATTTTAAAATCAGAGAAACCAACGTTTAACGTTATGTGGACGTTTTGTTCTGAATTTCCCTAACCAGTCGTTATCAATAGGAAAAAATCCTTATCAATAACAAATTTTACTAGCGACGCGATGCGCATGACTACCTTTGTGATTGTTTTCCTTAGCTGTTAATTCGTATGCGATTTTTAATTTTTTAAAAATTTTGTAGATAAAAAAAAGTAGAGTAGTGTAATAGGGGAAAATCTTAAGTTTCACTTTTCCAAGAAATTGTTGTTTTGAAGTAAAAAGAAATTTAATACTTAGAAGGATTTTTAAGAGAGCCAGATGTCACTTGGGGGGGCCTAGGAGCATGTTTTGGAAGTAATAAATAAATAGATAGAAAGTTTCTTTGTCCCAAAAGTCCACTAGCGGAAACGCGCACTAAAAAGTAGCCAGATGATGTTTTTCTTGGAAAAGCCTTAACGCTCAATTGAAAACGCTTCCCTTTGTTTAAATCGATCGTTGGAAAATTAAATAATAGAGAAAGAAGTTAAAAGAATAATAACAAATTTATTTAGTTAATAATCATTTAGATTAAGGAATTAGGACTAAGATAAGGATATAACCAGCCGTATAGTAGTTTTACCGATAAGTTTTAAGAATTTAATGTCACCCGAGAAAATTGTCTAATTGTATAACTTAGGTTGAAGTAAACGGGTAGTTAGTAATTGCAGACATAGGATATTTTAATTTTTTGGACTTTGTTAACGGATTTAAACTTTTTAAGTAACTTTGTAGTTAGGCAACCCCGAATTCAGCGTTAAGTAGGGGTAAAAATTTCTCACTGCACGCCTCTGATTGGCCAGAAACTTCAACCCTAAGCCAAGTCACGCCCTCGACTTAAGGGAGTCTTTAAAAGCTGGACTCGACTGCGTTCTGCAGATTTTATCTTGCAAGATTTCGCGCGCGTCGTTTCCGAGTTCGAAGGTCGAAGTTCTAGCCAGTCAGTGTAATTAATTAGTCAGGTATATTGTTAAGTTTGTTGTAAAGTTGCTTATACCGGTGCTCGCAGTTAAGTTCACCTTAAGTGACCGGTTTAGTTTAAAATTTGTAGTTTAAATTATTAGTTTTATGATTCATTTAGGTTACCTTTTATAAAGTTAATTTAGTTCGGTTTAATTCAAAAGTTAGTTTCTTAATCTTAATTTCTCCGTAAATTCTTTGTTAATTTTCTTTACCGTTAAATTATTAATTTTTCTTATTTTCTTTGTTAATTTTTATTCTTCTTCTTAATTGTAAATATATTGTTTGTGGTTAGAATCTGCTTTGTTTCTTTGGGTACCTGTTAATTCTAATTACCCAGTGCTTGGCAAACGTAAGTATATCGTGATTCGCGAAGTGTTCCGGGAGATCCGTCGCGAGTGACTTAGTGTGGTGATTCGTGCTTATTGGGATTACCAAATCATCGGCAACCGTCGCTGGAATAAAGGTCAGATTAGTGGTAACATCCTTGTAACGGACTGATAGTAGTCAATATCAGCCCCGCTCCCCGCGTTAATTAACCCAAAAAACCACCCGTTACAGTAGTAACGCCATCAACCTATCCAGCTTACAGGCAAAGCCTATAAGGTTCGGTTCTTTAGCGGGACCTACTGTTTAACGTGAAATCCGAACCACGGTCCTCGATGAGTTAGACTCATCTACCGACTTTCAACGCGCACAACACCCAAGGCTGTAACCGGGGATCGAACCCGGTACCTTCGGACACAGTTTGTCTCGGCATAGTCGCCTAACCCAATGCGCTACCCGTGTAGATATTGTATCTATATTTATTAAACTGTTTTAATATACCCACCTATTTGTAACCTTTTTATTTATTTATTTTTAAATTGAATGTATTTCTCTTTTTTTTTAATGTGTTATAATTATTGTACCTATTGTATTATTTTACTTATTATTATAGGGTTTCTTGTAGTTTTATGTCAAATATTTTAAAACCAAACTATATTATTATAATTATTATTATTTATTTATACCAAATTTTTTTATAGTAAGTTAAATTCATGTAAATAATTGCATTATGTTTAAATAATTAATAAGCATATTAATAATCTAGTTAAGCAAGACACGACCTCTTTAAGAGATCAGGTGCACTAAATTAATTTAAGGTATTTTTGTAAAAAAATTGTTATTATTTATGCTGAATAAATATTATTAATATTATTATTAGTATTTAAATACAATTTATACTTCTGTATTTTAACTTGATGTGAATAAACTTTTAAAATAAAAGTTTAGTTTTTTGGAATACATTAAATTGTATCAAATTAAAATATGTCAAAACCAGAAGTTTAATAGTTTGTATAACATGATTAAACAAAATACATTTTTATCATGAATATTTTAAATTATTCATTTAATTTTTGTTTTTAATAAAATATAATTTATACGTGTAATGTTTTAATTCTATTTAAATTATGTTTTATTTTCTAACATAGCATGTTTCGCTTTATAAAACATTCAATTATAATTTTATAATATATTTTTTCTACTCCCACCTTAAAAACTTCCATATCGTACATGTTTACTGAACTGAAATTTTATTAAGAAAGATTAAGAAACTTTCACATATAAAAAACAAAATACCAACAACCTATTCTAAAAAGTAACAAATATTTTTATTAATCTATAAGTTCTGCTAAATCCTCCATTTCCGTAACTGGTCTGGCTATTAAGTTATTATAAAAGAAATGGTATATTGGTGGAATATACGGTAACAATGATTGTACATTTTGAATTTTTTTTATTGAAATTTTTACGGGTTCATTGTATTTGACACTTAGGGCCGGTTTTTCAATCGTTGGTTAACTTTATCTTACCTGCAATAGGGTGACAAGCCTCAGTTCAAAATAAAATAAATATTTTTTGGAAGAACATGACAAGCCACAAAAACATTAAAAATACATACTTCACTGTTTTCTGAACTTTCATCGTTGTCACTTAATGGATAGTCCTTGTCGGCAACACTATCATCACATGAATCTTCAAACTCGTCACTACAGCTGGTACTTTCATCACAATCCATTATTTTATCCGGTACTCTCACATTGCTGGCGGCCATCTTAGTGTGGCTTGTCACATTATGTGTAATTTTTTACCCCAATTTGTAGAATGTTATAATATATATATACTAACAATAGCGCCATCTTTTAGAGAAATGCAAAATCCTTTGCTAAGTGGCTTGTAATACTATTGCTTAATGCTAAAAAGCAAAAATGTTGTTTTTTGAAAAAGCGTGGCTTGTCACGTTTTTCCAATAAGCCCTTCAATTATAAAAACTTTATTTGTAGGATGGAGATGCAGATGGAATACTTGACGGATAAAGTTAAATTTAAAATACAAAAATGGAGACTAAGACTCAATCTACTTTTATCCAACAAATAAGCAAACAAACAAATTAAAAATGAAAACTAGGAACACATACGACAGCTGAGCTCTAGTATAATGTATTATTTATCTAATGGTATTTATATATTTATTTATTTATATTCTATGAGGGTTGTGGTCGCAGTAAGGAGATATCGTATGGTTTTAAGGGTTTGTAGGATATCCCTTTCTTTCAGAGTTCTATTTCAGGACATAAATTAATTATTATTATTATTATAATTATTGTTTGTTATAAATTTTAGTGTTTTATACCTTTAACTTTCTCCCATAATCCCTCATTTTGGATGGTTTTATGAGAGATATTTATATTAAAATAAACGGGAGCCTTCCAGTTATTTAAACTGAGTTCATACGTAATTTATTGTCTTTTATTTACTGTATTTATAATTTCCCTTTTTAATACTTCCCCATGAATACAACCCCTCAAAAGTACCTTGGGTTACTAAATTAATGAGCTTTAATACCGTAAGTATTTATTTTATTTATTTGTCGTAATTTAATTTAACGTTATAATTCATTTTATCACTTGGGGTGTAACTTTTACAGATTCTTTGTATATTATTTTTTGAATAAATTATTGTATTTTTAAGAACATTTTATTAAATGTGATGAAATTTGTTAAAAAACATATTGTAGTTTGATGTTTGATATAAGCCCGAGGATTTAATAAAATTATTAAAATAAATATACATTCATTACATATACTTTAATAAAAAAAATTTAAAATAGAATTTTGTATTTGTTTTTTATTGTTATCAATAATTAATAAAAAAATATACAATTATGCTAATTGAATGTTATAGCCTTATCATTTTAAAAATAATAAACATATTTATTATTTTGCAGATTTTAAATCTTCTTAATACGATAATACTTGCCATCCAAAATAAGAGAATGTACAGATTTCGACCACTTTTGTTATTATTCTGAAGATTAAAGGAAATACTTATTCGCTTATTCACATTTTCTGCATATCATAATAGTATTATGATAATACTTTAACATTTAACCACTTTGTTGTTGGCCGCAAACGATTAAAGAAATTAGTTACTTTTAACTCTCAGAAATAGTCAAAGATGGTGACTAATCTTAAATTAGTCAAACTTTAACTATATTCGTAGTAAAAAAATAACTATTTAAAAGTAAAAACGACTATTTTATTAGTCAAAAATGCTGGTACTAATTCAAATAATAGAATTTTGACTATTTCATTTTAAGAGAGTACATTGCGGATTTAAAATAAAAAGAGATGATGCAATAATTTCTCCTAAATAAATAAATACAATGTGCTTTATAAATGTGTAAATGTATTTCCATAAATTCGTTTATTTATTAAATTAATTTTTATTATCAATACATTTAGAACCATTTTTTCCAAACATATTCGATGAAAATAAAGCACCTTCCAGCTACCCCTTATGTAACGGTAAGTGTTATGACAACTACTTACCATGATTAAAATCGCCTCCTCCCAAAACTGATATGCCGTTTGATTCTAAATTTCGTGCGTGACGAGCTGAAAAAAATAAAACATTATTTTTTATTTTGCTTACTTTTGATTAAAAACAATTATTATTACTACCTTATGGAAAAAATTCAATATAGCATCCAGCGTAAGACAAATTATATGAATTAAAAATTAAAATTTTGTTAATATCCAGGGATTCTTGATCCTTAAATAAAAAATAAAATATTTAAATATTTATACTTTTTTTTCAACAGTAGTTATGGTTAAATACGTTGCTATTACTTAATTTCAATCTTATACTTTGTATACAAAAAATATTTGCTACAGGGTTTTGAAAAAGTAATTTTTAAAGTGATATTTTAAAAAAGTGGCGGCTGGTTGATTTTGTGTATACCCATATATCCGTTATTGGACATGGGACCTAAACCAAAAGTTCATAATTCAAATATACAAGTTGTAAGCGTACACACCCCCCCCAGCAAAGAATCTGTAAAAAGTGATAAATGAAGTATAACAACACGGCAAATGTTATATAAAATTACGAAAAATAAATAAAATAAATACTTACAGTAATAAAGCTCATTAATTTAGTTACCCAAGGTACTTGTGAGGTGTTGTATTTATGGGGAAAGTATTAAAAGGGAAATAATAAATACAGTAAATAAAAGGCAATAAATTACTTTTGAACTCAGGTCGAACACCCGGAAGGCTCCCGTTTATTTTTTTTTTAAATATCTCTCATAAAACCTTCCAAAATGAGGGATTATGGGAGTAAGTTACACGTATAAAATATTTAAAATTTTATTTATTTGGAAGAGCAACAAAAATAACCGCAACCCAAACGACATTTAACTTAGTGAAATCTGAAAGAAAAGGACATCCTACAAACCGTTAAAACCACACAATATCTCCTTACTGCGACCACAACCCAAATATAATATAAATAAATATATAAATACGATTAGATAAATAATACATCATACTAGAGCTTTGTTGTCGTATGTGTTCCTCTTTTTCATTTTTAATTTGTTTGTGTGTTTGTTTGCTTATTTGTTTGTTTGTTGGGTGAAAGTAGATTGAGTCTTAGTCTCTATTTTTGCACTTTATTAATCAAGCATTCCGTCTGCAATAGGCCTTCATCATCCAAATAAAGTTTTTATAATTATTTACTGTTGAATTTAAGTTTACTGTTACACAATTTTTCATGTTATATTTATTAGTGAGTTCAGGCTCAATCAACTATTAGAAGAGGAGTAGATAAATTATCAGGCTCGACACAGGCTCCAACTGAGGGTTCGCAATTGTCTATTATGCCTCATTTGTCGGCAAACTTTAATAAATTAATAATTACCATAAAATACTAGGTAATCAAAATGACACAAATAACAAAAACAATTTTGGCGTCGCGCAGTCAGATGAAATCAAACCGGCACCTAATAAAATTTACAGGATAGTAATTCAAAATGGGCTCGTTGCATCAGGACACCACGGACAGTGGATAAATCAAATGTTGCTATCGTACAATCACTGTTGCTACTCACTCCAAACGTAATACCAAATAATTTAATATGACTGGTAAAAATCACTTAACTAATTTCGGGACATAAATATGAATCTGCGAGTACGATTTAACAAATCCCGTATTTAGGAAAATCGATATTAAAAACACTTAATTTACACAGCGTTTATGTTAAATCCCTTTTGTGAAATATTTATTAAAATAATTAAATAATCTCAAGTACAGTCCTGACATTTAGCTAAATAAAACTCAATACCGCCCTGCTCTTTTAATTAGATAAAATCAAGTACCAATTGTTTATAACTTAGACTCTAAATTATAATACGAAATACCTAATTTAAAAGTAACGTAAATTTATTTAGTTGATTACGGGCGTGGTTTGTTAAAACGGCAGCCATCACGGCGGAATAGATCGAACTATGACGCCAAGTCAAATGATCGAATATTTATCTTTACACAAGGTATTTGTATAAACTAATTATACCAAAATGTTTGGGAATATTTATACTACAATAATTTTCTTCCCTGCCCGTCCGACTACTGGCATTCTTCCCCCCTTCCTTCTCCCACCTAATCAGGAGATTCTTACTAACCAATGGCACGGTACTCGGTATGTCAATTGCATTTCCGTCGCGCTAAATTTAAATGTTAGTTTTATTTACATGGCTTTTTGAATACATTTATTTTAAACAATTAGGATAATAAGTTAATTTTTTTGGTGGGCCCTTTTGGGGCGATTTATTATTTACTATAACAAATTTCAAATTTATTGAAAAAATTCAAGTAATAGTGATTTTATACAATTTTTTTATTGTATTAAAAAAATAAATAAAATCTGTAAAATTTGGGGCGCAGGCCGAAAGGACACACCGAAAAACTAACTTTTTTTTGCAAACTTCAATTTAAATTCTGCTTGCGCAGAACTTGCTTATTTAATGTCATTATAATAACTAATAATGTATCAAGGCCCTTGATTCAAGGGCATCATGTAGGCTTTAATGCCCCCATAAAATTTATGGCCGTCGAAGTCACGGCCAATTAACGATAGAAAATATGGCATATTTTGAGTTTGGGAAGAAAAAAGCACCATCGGTAATATTAACGAGACCGTTTTATTAGCCTAATTCTAGAAACTAGTAAGTTTTAATTTTGATTTTAATGCTTTGATCCAACTTATTTTAGTCAGAAAAATATTCTCTCTTTGGTACCAAGTACTCGATGCTTAGATCTGATCTACTTTGATTGCGAATGAAAATATTGGCATTTCAAATTTCCATCGTTTGATATCATTTTTGAAAGTAAAGTCAAAAGGATACAAACCTTGTTTGAAGGTTGTAGAAGGAGTTCAAGCTTTAACTTGTGTAAAAAATGCGTCTAATGAAATTTATCTTTTTCATAAAGTAGTACTGGTGAAGGGTGTTTTTGGTGGGTTACGAAGATGGTTAAAAGGATGATTAACGATACCGAAGATAAAGGGTCTGTTTTACTTGTTAAGGTACCAAAAACTAAAACTTAACCCTTAACTACTCGCGCCAATTTTTGTAACATAAGTGGTCGCGCGGTGCACTAAGTGCTCCGCTCCTTAAAATGGCTATATTGCTGAATGTTTTCAATTTTAATATTACTTTTGCTTATATTCGGATGAATTAACTCTATTTTTATTAAAACAAAATATTTATTTTAAAAAGAAACAAAAAGCAAATAACAAAAAATAAAACAAACAAAAAAGTTATTACTCCTACTCAGAAAAGAAGAAATCAGAATGAAATTTAGCCGTTCTATTTTTATTTGTGTATTCTTAGAAAAATGTATACCTTAAAAACCATTAGGTTTTAAATTCCATATTTTGTTGATTTAGAAATATTTTACATTGCAAAAATTGAAATTTAGTTACGTTTTAGTGAAGTATTTCTAAATCAATCTCAAGTTTTCTGTACATAACTTTGAAATTAGTAGTTTAAACTGAATATGCCGTCGACAGTGCATGGTAGACACATCAGTCATAGGTTACATGGAAAGGGCATTTAATTCCAAGAAAACGACAAAAAGTTATAGAGGTTTTAATAAAAACGGAGCACTCAGTGCACCTACGCGACTAGTTAAGGGTTAAACATAAAAAATCTTCACCAAGGAAAACATTGGTACCTGAAATATAGTTAGACGGTACGTAGCATTAAGACCGACAGGTATAAAGGAGCGAAAAATTTTTCTTACATATATAAACATTCGCTGCATAGCTCAGCCGGTTGTTAAAAAAAACGATAGGAAGTTAGTTAATGCAAATGCTTACACAGGCCACTGTCTGCAGCAACAAATTTTCTGCAGCTTTGGCTCATATTGTTTTGTGGAATTAAATTTGCGGGTATTATAAGCGGACATTATGATAGGAAATAAATGGTAAAAAATCAAGGGGGTAGGCTACATACTAGGCATTAAATTTAATTTATGAAGGCATATCCGTAGAAATATATTAAAATCGAATAACATAATGAATTCTAAAGGGTAAATAGTGGAAACATTTGGCATGGGCTGGTTTTGACAAAATTACCTATGCTGACAAGTTTTTTATCATATGGACGACATTTAAATTAGATATGATCGATCCGATGAATGCGTCCTTCTGTTATCCAGAGAACATGTTGCTGTCTATGATAGTAGAGAACAAACATCATAAAGAGAGTAACAGGAGGATACTAAAGGCAAAATCCGAAAAGAAAGTCTGTTAAAACTTTTACAACTCTCCAAATAATTTTTCATGCCTCGTGGGGTCTCGTGTAGTATGACCTGTAGTACGACGTATAGAACGGCCTATAGTACGAGCTGATGTATTGAACAGTGTCTGCAGAAAGTCGATATCATTGATCCAATGAATGTGTTTTTCTTTCAGCAAGAAAACATATTGCTGTCTATAATAGTAGAGGATAAACTTCATAAAGTTACAGGAGGTTGCTAAAGGCAAATTCCGAAGGGAAAGTCTGTTATAACTTCCTTAATAAATTTTGATACCTCGTATGACCTTGTGTTGTACGACCTGCAGTAAGAGCTGATGGATTCGACAGTGTGTGCTCAAAAAAAAGCTTGACAGCGGAGGTTATTTTTCCAATTCTACAAGAGGTTAAACTATCAAAAATATCTTTTTCTACTCCCACCTTTAAAACACCCTTTATCGTACATGTTTCCATGACACTAAGTGACCTTTTAAATACACATTGACAAGTTGTGGCTTTACGCCGCTTTAGTCACGGGCTGAAGTTAGTTATATTGCGCGTGCTTGTATAATGCGTTCTTTGCGTGTATTAAGTTAATGTAAACAGACAACTTAACAGACGTAGGTTTCTTAAGTTAAGTTACGCATATTAAGTGGATGTGAATGAGCTTTAAATCTTTTAGAGCCTGCAACTTTGGTACTGGCATACCTATCCCTCTTTAATGTTCTTAATTGTTATTGTCACTTTTCTTCATCACCAAGAGTCTCCTCTTCAGTGACTTCATCATCCAAGGTATTTACGTGCAGACGTATACCTAGGGT